GCCACGGGCCCCCCCTCCCAGCGGGCCCGCCCGGCCGGCTCACGGCCACCAGTGCCAACTCCCCGTCCGACTGGAAACCCATTTTCTCCCCGGGATGCCGCTGCGCTGTAGCACCGGATGATGGCTTGGGGCTGCCGAGTGGCTGGACCTTCCCTTAGGACTTGCTGCTAAAACAAGCGCCGTGTTGTTTTTTTTTTTTTTCCCCAGACCTGGGTTTTTCTTGTTAAAAGATAACCTTGGGCTCACTGGGAACCCCCAAAAATGTGGATGGGTTGCTGCTGCTGCTCTGGGTGAAGCCCAGACAGCGTCTCTGGGCTGAACCCGCCCGGTACCTTCCTGGCCGGGGGAGTGGCCCCAGGGGGTCTGCGGGGATGGGGAGAAAGGGGCCACCAGCCCTGTGGGGCATCATGTGCCCCAGCACCCAAGGGTGGGGGTACAATCCAGGGACCCCCAGCTCCGCAGGGCTCCATACCGGCCCCCAGCCCTTCTCTCCTGGAGTTCCGGGGCATCTCGGGGTACGTGTGTTTATGTGTCTCCCTGCAAAGCACTTTAGGGTCCCCCCAGACCGGGCGTCCTTGCCGGGGACTGCAGCTGGGAACCGTGCCAGACCAGGGCTTCGTTAGCCCCGCTCGCCTCGTTAAGACACCCTGAAAGGAGCCCACGGCTGGTGCCGGCGAACATCCCGGATCACAGCGTGTCTGTGCCCTGGTTCGTGTTCTCCTTGTCACGGCGCGGAGCTGAGTGCCGCAGGATTTATCCCGCAGCCTCCTCCGGGAGCGCGCTGGAGCGGCAGGTGATACCTGTGCGCTTCGTTTTGGTTTTCTTTCCTATTTTTTGGGAACTGCAAGTGCTGATGGGGCCAAATCCTCGTGTCCTGGGGAAGAGCTCACTTCTCACTCCAGGCTCGGAATGGCTTTTAAGTGAAAATAAAACCAGGGTTTTCTAGCACGCCCCTGTCTGCTGCCAGCGTCTTTGCGGCGGTGCTGGGCCGCGAGCCCCAAAATGGGGTACCCCAGAATCTGAGCTGTCCCAGTGCCCCTTCGATGCCCATGTCCTCGGGACGTGGGTTACATGGGGACAGCCCCGTCCCTGCGTGGGCCTGGGGACGGGTGGCATCGCCCCGTTGTCCCTTTGGGACAGCGCAGGTGCACCTGGGGCTGCGTGGCCCCCGACGTTGCACCCTGTGGGGCAGGACAGGAGGGATGCTGCATGGTCCAGCGCCGCCGGGATGCTCGTGGGTGCTCAGCATCGTTTCTCCGGCACTGTGCCACCCTGGCCATGCCAAGGCGGGGGCGGGGGGGCAAACAGGCTTTGGGGTGCAGCCCTGGCTGGGGCAGGGGGACCAGGCGTGGTTTTTGGGGGACATCCGGGGCCAGGGATGCTCCGGGCGTAGGGGACAGGGAGGTTTTTCACTAGATGGCAGCAGAGACTGCGGGATGTGACACTCAAGCTGGTGGCAGGGCCAGCCTGGGGACAGCGGGTGCCTGGGGAGGGTGCTGAGCTGCAGCCCCGGCCTGCTGGGGTGGACAGGGTGAGCCTTCCTCCTCCTCCTCCTCCTTCTCCCTGAGCATCCGCAACCCAGCCTGCCTGGTCCATGCAGCAAAATGCATGAAAATGGGTGAAATGCATGAAAATGGCCCAACTTGAAAGCCACAGCAGAGGGTGGCGTTGGCTAAGCGGGGACTAGGGTGGTGTCACTCCATTTTTGGAAGATTTAGCACCCTTGGGGTGCTGGGGTTGGGGGTATCTGTGGTTTGGCCAAATTATCAAAGCTTCTGCTTCAAAGCCTCGGTGCTGCGGGGCCGTCGGAGCCTTTGATTTTGTGGGTGACCCGGTGGATGAAAGGCACCATCCCGCTGCCACCCCGTCCCCACCGGGGACTCACCCAGCTCGTGTTGCCGGTGCAGCTGCCGAAATGGGTTTGGAGTGTTTGGGGTGGTTTTTTTTCTCAAAACAAGTCGGTACTCAACGGATTCAACCTCAAAGTGGGGCTTATGGCCCCAAAAATGAGGTTTAGAAGTTGAGGATTAGGGTTTGGGGTTGTTTCTGTTTCGTGTGTCCAGCCTGGTGTTCTTTGGGTGTTCTGCAGCACCCGATACAGAGCAGGTGTGTGGGGTCAGCACCTACTTTGTATTGCCAAGCCCAGGCCAGGCGTGTGACGATGGCAACGGCCACCTCGGCTCCTCT